GCCCCCAACCCAAACAAACAAGTAAGCATTCAGAGTAGGTGAAAAGTCAGCAAGAAAACAATATGAAAAGCCAGAAGGCAGGACTGATTTCTCAGAACAGAAAAACATTTCCCACAGAGAAGAAATGGACCCCAAAAAGGGCCAAGTGTTATAAAATAGGATTAAAATAACTATGTATATACATTTCTATTTGTTACTTTCAGATGTGTTTTAAAGTTTTAATTCTGGATCTTTTTCAAGACCATATTTAATTTAGCACACTAGTAGAATTAAAAAAAATCTAAGTGTTTGAAGATCACCAAATACAGTCAAGATCACTAAGTTTTCATTATCACACTTTCATAACATGGTCATATGAATGTTTAAGTAAAAAAAAAGCTTAAAAAATAATTTACTATTTTAAAATACTGAATTGCAATTAAATCTAAATTGTAATTGAAATTAAATAATACATCTATGCATTGAAGAAATGGTTGAATAAGTCTTAAAATAAGCAGTATTTTTAAAATTACATGTTCCCTTTTGCTGTACAGTACTACTTTAACAGTGAGAAATAATACACACTTACAACATCTAGAGGCGTTTCGCTTGCAATCTGCAATTAAAAACATTCAGAATTCATGTTTAAATACATCTGAATATAAAAGTAATTTGTACAAAAATACTAAGTTGCATAACACAGAGAAGATAAAATTATCATATCAAATAACATACACATTTTTGCAAATGGATTAAAGAAAAACTACCTGAGGCTTTATTATCTAAAATTCTATTATGTTACTGTAAATATGTGAACTATTTTAAAAGGCACACTTACTTTACAGGTTTTCCCTACATTTTAATTTGCTCCTTCAGATGACGTTTGTGAAATTTCTTAACACTTCTCGGTGGGATAACCTATGGTTATTTTATTTCAGCCATCAGGAAAAAATTTAACAGTGTATTCTAAGTTGAGAAACAAAACTAAACTAATATCCCACATCCTCAACCAGTTACCTCTTAATCTCAGAATGTATTACCTTTTTAAGCCGGTATCTAGCATCTTAGCTCCTCACCTTGCCCCTATTTTAAAATTAATTTTTTAAATGTGAGTACCAAGTACTTAGACACTCATCCTCACAGGGGCTGAAAAACACTATTGTCCTAGCTTACAGACAAAGAATCAAGGTAGACAAATACCCTAGCCCCTGCATCATACTCTTTAACAGCAGCTGTTACAGCATTCATCTATGATACATTTTCTTACCAATTCAAGACATAAGCGATGACCATAAGCAGCTGAATAATGAACTGCATTGTATCCTTGTTTGTCTCGGATCCCCGGATTGGCGTCGTTTCTTAGCAAGTATTCCAGGCACCTATTTAAATTGACATACATAACCATATATCTACATGTTGAATTTCAACGTTATGTTAAGTGATAAATTGTTCCAATTCAATTGGAAAATAGAATACAGGACACAGGAACACTGACTTAATGTACAATATTGGCTAGGACTAGAGAACACCTAACTCATTACACACCAAATGTTAAGGTCAATCACAACGCTTCCAAAATCTGAAAGAATACTTCTCTGCAGACATCCTGCATCCTCTGAATTATCTGACTTGGTTAAAACTGGGATTTCACAGCTATTTTCCTCCTAGCTAATACAATTGCAGTTACCTTTGTTAATATAAATGATTACTATTTTTGTATGTTTTTCTGTATCAGTACATTCTTCTGTACTTAATACAGAAGGAAGAGAACCAATAGCTGAGTTCTTCATGGTATCTATCCAAGAGTCTCACACACATACATTTCCACTACCAGACACTAACTGATTTATTTGTATAGTAAACACACTCAGTTGTTGGCATACTTCTATTCTACCATTCCTTACTTTCATTATACAAAGTTATAAGGCAGAACATGATCAGCAGTTTCAACCACAGACACTCAGCCAGGAGGATGAAAAATAGGTCTTAAAGTCAGCTCCCTCTCCCTGTTTTTCTGTTTTAAAGAGACTCTATGCATGCACACTAAACAATTCCAACCAATAACCCTACTTATTCATAACTCTATGATGTCTATCATTTCAGCAACATTTTGCAAAGTCACCATCATGACCTTAAACTAGCTGGTGAAGCCATTTGGCTTCCTGAAGTGAACAACAGGTCACCATCTCTTCTCTCTGGGATTATGAAATACTACTTCTTTACCAGTTAAATAAAATGCATGGGAAGCTAAAAAATACATTATCTTGTCAAATCCAGCCTGGAATCTTCCTTCCTTAGCACAGTTTATCTAAAGGTCTCACAGATTGCCATTATCAGTAGTGACAAACAGATCAGTTGGATACACTGACAATATAAGGGGTTTAGTTCCCATCTATCTCATGGAAAATTGTTTGGTAGAAAGTTGAAGGAAATGTAAACGCTTGTTTTACGATATGGCTATACTGTGATGTCATGTGAAAAACTTGCAGTAGGATATGTCAGGTTTAGATCTGAGAGGCAAGAATCGTAACATGACTTCTCATCAGTGCCGTTAAGAGTAGAAACTTGATCATTCAAAACCCTGGAGAACACTCAAGCCTTGGAGAAATCTGACAAAAGCAGCCATCTCCTGAGGGAAGACAGAATGACCCTGCAACATCAGAACTCTTCCCAAGTTCTTTCAAGGGAGGGCCTGGAGTGAGCACATGGAACAGTGCAAGTTCATCATCTGAATGAGATCCAGTACCAGCTGTGATGAAATGGAAACACATTTCAACATGAGTAAGACAGCTGTTCTGGGTCAGGGGGCTGATAACCTCATGTGCAACAACAGCAATTTGCTGGAGTGAAGATCTGACATTTGCTTTTCCAGACAAAGGTTGAACGTTAGCGAACCAGGTGAGTGAAGATGAAAGGGACAAAAAGCTGCAGGAAAAACTATGAACAAGGAAGTATCTAATTACAAAGTACTCTATCTCATTACAAAGTTGAGAAGAACAGGAGTGATACCAAGGTGTACTCTCATCATTTTATGCCCAACATAAAGGGGTAAAGGACTTAGGTAGTGAAAAAGGTAAAAATTCTCCAGTTTTAAAGACAAGATGTAAGTAACTTGTTATAAGTTCAGGGTACCTAATAAAAAGCTATCTGTAAAGTATATCTGTGTTTTTAACCAACTAATTTGGGTTTTATTTGCCCAGTAAACAAATGCCTTAATTAATGGCAACCATGCTTGCATGTTTTTATTTGAATTGAAATGGGATGAGATTTTTGAGAATTCAAAGACAAGTCAATTTGTCCCATCGAGTGAGAATTACTGTCCCTACAATTTATTTGTCCAATTGTCTAACTTTCTTTGTTAATTTTAATCAATGATTTTGTATTAACACTCATGACTCATTAATAAATGTTAAACAACACTGGCCTCGGCTATCTAAATTTCTATACTTGTGTACTTTCTGTATTTGTGTGCTCACAAAAACCACAATACACTAAATACACTGCAGGAAGCAACCATTCTTTCCAATACAAAAGAGATAATTGTTTTTGCTGTTTCTTCTCATCCAGGAAAGAGGTTAACTTTGCATCTTTTGTATACCTAACTGTCCTCAACAGGCCTCTTTAAAAGGAGATTAATCAACCTTTCTGAAAGCCCAGAGAAGTTAAATTTATTTCCCATTTATTTATTGGTGTACTGTCTATTAAATAATTCTAACATAGAAAAAGCATGGTTTTAACTCCCCTAAGATACTGTTTAGTTTATCTCATTCTGCGATCATGTTTCTCTCTCTAGTCTTGTCAAAATGACACTTACTGGTGTTTGTTCCAGATCAGAAGCATGTGTTAAAGATACAAAAGAAACACTTCCAAACAGGAACAAACCGGAAAATAATTTTCAACAAAAACATCCTTGTCCCTAAAATCTGTCTTTAAAGATGTCTGAACAAAGACTGTAAAAATGCACATAAAGATCTTTGGAATTCTATATAGATAATTTCCTTACATTTTTTTCCCAGGCTTTATATTCCAACTCAGTAACCATTTTTAGCTTCATTCCTATTTTGAACATGAGCTGAGCAGTACTGGTTTTCCAGCTGTTACTAATCATCTTGCTGCATCAATATAAAAAGCTTCTCCTCAGGCCATACTGCTCTGCAGCCTCTTCCAGAGAGCCAACTGTTAATCAGAAGGGCAGTATTGCGTGGGTTCCAGAGACAATTCTTTGAGTTATCTCCCAAAGCTCTGCAGTATTGCCATCATTCTCGCTTGTGCCTTTTATAAGACAGATGGCAAAATGGTGTCATCTGAAGAACCATTATAGTCTGGAGGTTTTCAGAGCAACTGTGAAGCTAAAATTAATCCTAGCTCAACTCATAAGAGGGCAATTAAAGTAAAATTATCTCAACAAACTCCAGAAGGAATTAAAAGTATATCTAAAAAGCAGCAGAGAATTTCATTTTTAAATTTGGCTTTACATAAAAAAGGCATGTACTTTAAATATTAGTTAAATGGCCATGTGTTGTGGTTTAACCCCAGCCAGAGACTAAGCACCACGCAGCCACTCACTCACTCCCCCACAATGGGATGGGGGAGAGAATCCAAAGGAAAAAGGTAGAACTCGTGGGTTGAGATAAGAACAGTTTAATAAAACAGAAAGGAAGAAACTAATAATGATAATAATAACAATAATAAAATGACAATGAGAATAAAAGGATTGGAATATACAAAACAAGTGATGCACAATGCAACTGCTCACCACTCGCCGACCAGTGCCCAGTTAGTTTTCAAACATCGATCCGCACCCCCCTGCCCACTCCCCCCAGTTTATATACTGGGCATGCCATCACATGCTATGGAATACCCCTTTGGCCAGTTTGGGTCAGCTGCCCTGGCTGTGTCCCCTCCCACCTTCTTGTGCCCCTCCAGCCTTCTTGCTGGCTGGGCATCAGCAGCTGAAGAATCCTTGACTTAGTCTAAAGAGAACTTAGCAACAACTGAAAACATCAGTGTGTTCTCAACATTCTTCTCATACTGAATCCAAGACATAACACTATACCAGCTACTAGGAAGAAAATTAACTCTATCCCAGCCAAAACCAGGACACCATGAAAGTATTCTTTATTTATCCCTCAAAACCCAATCTGTAAGTTATATGCCACCTCATTCCTATTACTACCTCACCTTTTAAAAAGTGCTATATTAAAACAAGATGATACAGCACTAAGCAGCACTCTTTTCCAGTGAAGGTGTCACCCTATGCACTTGAAATGCCATGCTGCACACCAGCTTGTTTTGACCTGTGTATGTGAGTGTGTGAACATGCAAGTGGTATATTTTGAGGAGACTTGGGGAGAGTACAACGTCTGGAGCTTAACTAGCCTCATCAATTCTGTGCTCCTTATATAAGCTTTGCATGTAAGCATTTACGTCATTAATAACTATGTTAAATATAACCATTAGTTACAAAATAAACACACGCAAGAGGCATTTGTGGATGCCTGAAAGCTTCTGGATGTATTTCATTAATAGAAGTGTAAAAAATCTACACTAACAGGACATACAGTTGTAATACCAAACATGAATAGTTTAATCAAACACCAAATAATAAGGCATCTTATACTGATATGTCAAGTTAATTTCTATCCTTATGTAGGCCTACTGTAACTCACAGTCTAGTTTTACACTGTATTTCTGACTACACAGATTTTGGGGCAACATTAAGAACCCTTCATAAAACACAGCATCCTTCATGAGAATTTGATTTTAAAGCAAAATGACCCTACTGCTCACAACTGTCATAGTAACTCCCACAAACAATATTTACTCAACCACTACACAGCAGGTGGGATTAAAAACTTTATTCCCAATGAATTCCTGAATTAGGACATCCGCATTTTAAGACGTAACCAAAAAATTACAATACATTTTACTATTGTTCATTTTTCTCAGAAATATTTGTTACATAAAATAATTTATATACAATGAACAATCCACTGTCAAGTTTAATTTTTAAAAATATAAAAAATGCATTTGGCAAATCTGAAGGCAGAACATACACGAAAGTCACAGCTCAAATGTTTCTAAGGAGAAAAGCTTTAGTACAAAGCATTCCACTTACTTTCCATCTGTGTCTGATGCAGCTGCATAGTGCAGAGGTGTACAACCCCTCTCATCAAGGTCATTCACACTAGCTCCAGATCCCACAAGGGCAAACAGGCACTGATAATTACAATTGGCAGCAGCATAATGGAGTGGAGTTCTTTAGTACACATTTAAATAAAAAGTACAATGGTAAATAACAGCAAAATAATACTATAGAGACAGAAAAAGCAAAATAAAATGAAACTTAAATCCTCCTTACATTTTTTAACAAGTATTTGTGGTGAAGAATGCATCATTACGATATTAAAAAATGAGGCCATTTTCTAGGGGCCATTTAATAATGCAGAACAATATCTAGGGGGTCTATTTGCCAGCCAAAATATGCACAAACTTTGTATTAAGGGAAGCTTTATATGAATTTTCTTGTGTAAACATACAGAGGAAAATCAAGTTTACAATAGAAATATTTTTAGTTAAGTAACTTCAAGCCACATGGAAAAATACAGACAAAACTAAGAACTGCATAGCAACTAAACACGGTCAAAATAAAATACAACAATTAACAAGTAGATGTTTTCGACATCAGAACTTTGTCTAAGAGAGGCAAACATTATTTATTTATTTTTACTTATACTAACATAGCAGAGGTATTGTTAAAAAAAGTTTTAAAAATATACCTTGTCTTCTTATAATAAAATGGTGAAATATTAGTACTGATGTATAATCTCAGGGGAAACTTATTCCAGCTTCAAATACATAAACAATTCTCTAAATAAACCAGTTTGGATAAAATTTCAAAAGCAGCAAGATGACTCAGAATTCCATTTTCTATTTTTAAAAAAAGATCGCTACTATAAATATCTCAATTTTGAGGAGACAGTCAGGCACTTTAGTGTGTCCTACCTCTTCCCTCTCCCTTAAAATTACTTTTTCCCATTTCTCTCAATATTTAACTATTTTAATCTTTTCCCTCTCCTGAAATAATTGCTCTATATAACATGCACATTAAACCAAAACCAAACCAAAATGACACCCCCCCCCAACTTTCAATGGCAAAAGTTATGACAGATAGTTGTTCCTTTCTCAGAAAAGAATGGAAGTGAAATTTAAAGCAAAATACAACTTTGGATCCATAACATTCTCCTCAAGTCCTACTCCTGCCATTCACATCCTGAAAATCATATTTTCCATGATGTGATGTGAAATTTTACACAAGTACTGATCATGCCATCTAAACTTAAATAATCCTATACTAAAAATAGAAATTAAAGTCATTCCAAAAGAGTTCGGAGCACAAACTAGGAAACAGAAAGGGCTGGATATAATGAAAGGAAAAAAGTGAAGCAGTTAAAAAAACAAAGGATTTTTAAATTAAAAATAAGCTTAGAAATAGCAACAGATTTATAGGTTTGACATACATTATTTCGAAAACACCACTAATGTCCTTGGATGAGAGCAATTTAAACTCATTAGATCCACGTTATAAGCAAAAAAGGCTTGTAAAAATTACATTTGAATATGGAACTCAGTCTTTAAAAACAAGACTAAACACCTACTTAACAAAACACAATAAACAAAGCATGTTTGTAACTTTTGATAACATATGCCAAAACATAGTTTATTACAGACATCTTATCTTAAAAAACAGTTGAACTGGAACACACAGACTTGAGCACATAGCAATATGCTACTTCTGTAATACCTTTAACAGCCCTTTACAATATACAAATCTAGAATGTCTTACCTCCCAAATCTGTCCTTTTTGTTGAAGTCTGCACCAGTGTTTAGCAGAAGATTTAGGCACTCCAAATTCCTATTAAATTAATGCAATATTACTTGTGATTGCAAATTTTATTTCCTCAATATTGGCCTCTGCAAATATCAGAGCTGCTACATATATACATCTCATACATTATTTTTAATTGAACTGAACTATCATATGACAAGTTTGATAAGTATATTTTTATATGTAAAATAAATTTCATAACTGCAGGACCAAACCAGGAAAGAATTCAAATTAGTTCAAGTCCATATATGGAAATTTTATTGATATCAATTGGCATGCATAAAAGCACATAAACATTAACCTACTTTAATAGAAATTTCAATTCTTTAAAGCAAACAAACAAAAACACCTGCATGTCACATGCTTTTTGCTACCAGGATTCCAGCACAGAGGCAAGTTTTTAATGTATATTTTTAAAGGCCAAATGTAAGTTGCAACATAAATATTCTACTTTTTAGTGTAATTAATTTTCAATAGAGCATGATCATTATAATAGATGTACAATACTGCTTATGGTTCAAACACTATCTTAGTAACTTTCCTAAACTGGAGATGAATGAGGGAATGTGTCACAAATTATGTGTTTTTATATGAAAAGATAGCATTTTAACCTTAATCATTTGCAACAAGGATGTATCTATCAAGTATCCTTTGACTTAGAATGATTACTTAACGGTATTACTTAAACAACATTGAAACAGAAAAATGAAAATATCAATATCATGGAGTTCTTGTGTCCCACAAAGTGTATCATGAAATTTATTACCCAATTCTTCCAGGCAATTTTGAGTAGCTGCTATAGAAAACCTACAATACAATAACAATAATCAATATGGATCACAACTTAAGTGATGAGCAAGTAGTTCTGACTACTTCATCCACCTAAACTCTGGAATCTAATTATGGCTTTTAATTTAGTTAGATTGATCTTTTCCTTATGGATATGGTAAAAACATATTTCCCAAAGTTGCTGTTCTCCACCTCATGTCCTACAGTGATCTTAGCTGGGCATGCCATCTTTGAATGCTGTAAATTCTAAAAACATCATCATCCATGGGAATTTAAAATAAAATTCAGTTCATCCCCAAGCATAAACCTAAGGTAAGGCTGATGATACTTGGACACTGTACTCCAATAATTACTTATTGAGCTGAATATTTAATTTATTTTTATTGTTTGTAGATAGAATCCATCTTGAAATTATTTTAACGTTTACATAAATTCCAAGGGGAGAGGGCAGGCAAAGCACAGAAAGGAAATAATGAAGAACAGTAATGATCAGCAATTGAAAAAAGAACACTAAATATGAAAGCATGAATGTTTTTTTACATACCCTCCAGCTGCAGCTGCATGAAGACAAGTCCTGCCAAAGTCATCTGGTGTGTCAATGTCAAAACCTATAAATCAATTAAAATCATTATGTAACACCGCCTTTCACAAAACTGCTCTCATGTACTCTTAAGAGAAATGCTTGCTAAGCAAACTTAACAGCTATTTGCAAAAAAGCACTTAAGCACTGAAAATTTACTTCATTTGAAACACATCATTGCTATTCGTAATATTTTGAAAAACAGGCGTTCAAGTAAAACTGAAAGGCATAAGGTAAAAGACAATTAGCTGCACTGAGGCAAGAGGCTATATTCTTTCCTATCCTATTTGTCTGCTAATTTTTCTGCGTAATTTAGTATTGAATATAAAATATATGAAGGTAATAGGAAAATTTTAAAGTATGCTAGAATTTATCAGTGTTACGCAGAGATTTTTCTTTTTTATTTTTCTTTTTAAATAAAGAGGGGGATGTCAGCATTACTAAACCCAGAAGCTACTTATATTTCATCCTGGAGTTTAGCTCTTTAGTCCCAGAGAAAGAACTTTGTTAAGCTGGAGTGAAGGCTGCAAATAGCAATTATTTACAGAGGAGTCCTTTAGAGAACATTGTAGTTTTATCTTCCCCAAATGTATGAACTATGGAACTTCATATTTGAGATCACAAACTGTAACTGTGCAATTCCATATCTAACCATATACTTTGACATGAAGATTACTATTTAAATCAGGTTTCAAAGCTACATTTTTGGTTTGAGAAAACTACTATATTGTCCTAAGAGTCTTGCTCTTGTTTTGGTACTTTTGTTTGGGAATGCAATTTTTTTTTCTTTTTTTTCCTTTTAAGAATTGTTCAACAATGACAAATAGTGAACAACACAGGATGTTTTATTCATGAGTACTACTATTCAAGACTGTTTTCCTACTCCATATCCCCCAAAACATAGCATTTGTATGAGCCACTACGTTCTCCTCCCATTTCAATAGGCAGTGATATATAGCAAACAATTTAAGATAGTTTACCAATCTGATTTGAAAAGTAGTCTTTGATGCCTTTCCACATCCCTAGGTTGCTTGTCTAACACCACAAACTACTTAAGTGTCATTCAGTACAGGGAAAAGGCAGATTGATTTTTTTTTTTTTTAAGGTCTGCACATGAATATTAATGAATTTAAAAATCAGAGATTCTTATTTACATAAATGAGACTCCTCCTCCCAAAACCAAAAGGGCACATAATCTGCAGATACCAATCCCTGCACCAAGAGCATGTATTAGTAAACTGTTAGCAGTATCTAGTCTTTCCAGTCCGAAGGCTGTACGTACTCTTTGAGTCCTTATCTGCTCTAGGCTAGATTTATATCCAAGTTTGCTCAACTCATGTACAAGTCACAGAAACCACTTGCAAGTCTTCTGCAGGGATTCCCTTGCCATACTGAATCTCCAGTAAGGGCAGAGCCAGCACAGCACCATGTGGAAAAAGGAAAAAGCGCCAGAATATTCCTCATTTTGAATGCATCCAATGGAAATATAGTTAACTAGAGGATAGTTCTTTCCTGGAGTGAATCCTTGCAAGCTTGTCCATGAAGGACAGTGAAATAAAAAGCCTTATCAGTGGTAGTTTTAGTTATACTCCTTTAGTTCTTCTCCCAGGCTTCCCCAGCAGACAATATAAAGCTAGATAAGCAACTTCTGACTCTTCCTTTTCCGCAACCCTCTGCTCCCCACTTTTCTTTTTTCAAAAAACATGAAGTGCCTTCAGATTAATGTAGAACCATTTAGTTTATATTCTTCTTCTGTTCCTGAAGCTTCCACAATCCTCCAGACAGATCTTTTTCAGAAATGCAATGGTTCAAAGAGCTCAGAATTTACACCAGAGCAGACTATGGACAACAAGGGAAGTAATAACCTTACAACCCTCTGCAACTTCAGGAAGGAATCAAACAATGAAAGCAGAGTGCAGTTTGCGTTGCATTTAATTAACAATAAACCACTAATGCAACAGTTTCTTAATGTAGCAGCCCACAGAGTCTTCAGAGCTATTAGATACCCACTAAAGGAAAAGATAGGAATAGACTGATCTGTATTAAGCTAAAGACACCATGGAAGGGAAATGGAGGATGCTCCATAAAGTCATTTAAGACAACAGTAGTCTTTCTCCTTGAAGTCGCATTATGGTCTGAAACAGTCATCCCACATCTATGGCCAACTTAAAATGCAAAACCACAACATTTAAAAAGTTATAGATGTATTATTTCAATTTGGATGATTTTTTTTTTTTTTTTAAATTGCTTCTGTAGAAGTCTGCATTCACTTTAACTATAGACTATTCATTAAAAAAACAAGCACTGGCCCCAGGCTACTAGTAAACTATAAAGATTTTTATGTATTACTAAATTAAGACTTAATTAAAAGCTATTCTATGGAATAAAAAAAACGAAGTACAAAGCAGCCATAAGATTTTTAAAGAGTATCCTACCTGATGAGAGGAGCTTTCTGCAGCAGTCTGAAAATCCACTTAATGCTGCCAAATGGAGAGGAAACATCCCATGTATACCCCGCCTAAGATACACCATAATCAGGTATCACAGTTTCATTATAATTAACATAAAACAAACATGACTGTGTGGCAAAGTGCATGGTGGGTTCAGCAAACCACCTCATTAGAATATTGAGCCATAGGAAAACTTCACCTATTAAATGCTTTCTTACAAGCCAGCAGGATGCATTAAGTCAGTGCAACAGCCTATTAAAACTTTCAGCACTTCTACTTCAAATACATTAGAAGAAAATCTATTTCTCTTTCTTTTTGTACAAATTGTGATGTACTGAGTAGCTACTTAAAAGTACAGTACAGGATAATACACAAAGTATTTCCTATTTCAAGTTGAAGACAGTATTAAAAAAAATCATACTAATCTTGTTAATCTAATAAATAAATTTCTAAATTCTCTCAGCTTGCATTCATGTCAATAAAGTTACCTACTTTGCAGTGTCAGCACCACTCGTAATCAGAGTGTTGATTAATAGCTCATGGCCATATCTAGCTGCTATGTGCAAAGGAGTATTTCCATTCTTATCTTCACAGTCTATTTCAGCTCCTGTAATAAAAAGTAATTACTAAGTAAGAATATACGTAGGCATACAAATACTTTGTTAGAAAAACAGCACTGATGATAATTTAAGCAACATCAATAATTGTCCATGAATGACTACTTTGGTTTTAAAAATCTATACAGCTTTCAGTGGTATTTAGTATTAATAATAAGCAAAATGGAGAGAAGCATTTTATTATGTAACCATATGGGACAAACTTTCTGCAACCTAAGTTATGGAAGAGAAATTAACATATTTTCCTGCATTCTGAAAAAATAAACAGTTCTTCAACATAACTTATCAAACTTTAAAAGCAGATATGCCAGACTCCACCATTAACTGAACTAGTACTGGATATGAAAAAAAATTCAGTACATTGTTACCAATATAAGAGGAGGAAAATATTCATAATACTGGAAAGCTGATGACATAACTACTCCCTTGCCCTTTTTACCATTTTGAATGATGGTTTGAGATCTTGAAAATCTACCATGGATTGCTGTCATGTGCAAAGGTGTCTTCCCATCTTTACTCTGGAAAAGAAAAAAAACCCCAGTGTTTACTTATGGTCAGTAACAGTAATCTACGAGAACTGAAAAAAAACAACCCCAACAGAAAAAGGACATTCTTTTACTTTCTCTTCTCTCCCCTCTACTCCCTCTTTTACATTGTTTCTATGCACTTCTGCAAGACAGATGCTGGCAGTGACAAGTCAGCATGACATGGCAAGCTTTTCAAAAGAGCTGCTCTTAATCACAGCTCTTCCAGCTGTGAGTGACAACTCAGTGATGCCCACTCACTCACAGTTATGCCTTTAGGATAATCACTCTCCAGAGGATGATGACAGTACACAACTTTAGCAACAAGCCTATGTTCAACTCCTCCCCCACCCAAGTCTAAAACAAAACAGTGCTTCTTTAAATTGTTTGTTTCTTGAAAGAAGGTAGCTGTATTTACTATGGAGGTTTACACATTATATTAGAAGACAACACATTAAAAAGCTCATGTGTTTCATGGAAATTTCTGTAAAATGATATTTGTAAGCAATTTATCATAAACCACAAGTAATCCTAAGGTAAAACTATTCAACCATAATTGGTACTATAGATTTGACACACATATCAAATAAGTGCACTTAAGTCATTCACCCAGTAAAGATGTCCTTCAAGTAGGCCAACAGTAATGCATAAGGGAATTTCAATTTTTAATAGCACAATCTCAATGCACTTAAAAAAACATTTTTTTTTTCTGTTGTTTTACTTTAGAATGATTTTTTTCTTCCCTGTACTTTATCATAGGTAATGGGAAAGCTCTACTGCAGAAAAAAGTTCCTACAAATACACACAAAAAATTGCAAACATGACACTCAGAAAATAAAAGCACTCTTGGATGCACATGCGTACCACATCTTTAAATTTTAAATGTTAGCTTTGAAGAGTATGAAATGTTCACAAAATACAAAGTTAAAAAAGACAAAGATGGTAGGGGGAACATACAATATGAACATATGTATTGAAATATCACGAACTGCTGTCATGTGCAAAAGTGTCTTCCCATCTTTACTCTTCCTTTGGAACCAAATGGCAAAGCTTCTATGCATCTGTTACTGAAAGTCTGCTGGAGACCTTTTTAGGGTTGGATGTGGAGTTTTTAGTTGTGTCACTGCACAGAGCAGGATACACCATCTAGAACAATGCAATTATGGGAAACATTGTCTTCTCAGACCTAGACTGAAAGAAATAAAACACCTGATAATGACACCCAGGTTATCTCCAGATGTTTCAGCTAGCAGATATCTTTGACTGCAAATAATCCAGAAGACCCATCCACATATCCATAGCAGACACAAAGAAACACAGAACATGGGGTTGAAATTCACCTGAGGAATTGGACAATCGATTTACTTCTGTCATTGGAGGCCTTAATAAAAGGCCAAATAAACACATCGTAAGTGACAACTTCCCCAAGCATTCTCTATGCTCTGATTTTCTTACAAAGAGAATTTTCTTCTAATGTTTACCTTTCATCTTTCTCCCCACAGTTTAGTTCTACTCTGTTTATCCAACCATTAATATTCTCCTCCTTTAAAACAACTGTTACACATCTGCTGTCTCTTTCCCTCACTTTTCTCCTTCTTTAAGCTGAAGAATCAATCAATTTAAATAAATTTCACATAAAATAAGCTTTGTTAGAGTGAATGACTAAAAGCTGCTTTGGTAACTAATATTCTAAACTTTAAAAGGGGAAACTTTGAGAAAGAAAGGAAATTAGTGAAGTAACAGACAGAAGAATTTAAGGGCTCAGATAAAGAAGCCTGCAATCTCACTGGCTCAGATATGCTAAATCTGTATCTCAAAGGAAGGCTAATGAACAGTAGGAAGATAGAGCAGAAAAAAGTAAATCCAAGTGTCACTGAGCACATTAATAAAGTACCTTACAAGGACATAAGAATAACTTAAGGTGACAGTATTAGAAACTAAGGAGCACGGTGGTCAAGTGAGAACCCTCACAAGACAACTTGAGTAAGATCTTGGAAAGGACATCAAAATAAGCTACAAAATAATCTTCCAGTTGTAAATGAGAAACCACAGTACGATCAATAATGGATTTTTACATTTACTCTGCTCAAATTTACTTAAAAAGGCACTTAATGTAGATTTCTAAGACAATGGATTCGATTATCCACAGTGCCTCTGTCCAGTCTTAGAGTCTCAGGTTCCTTTGCAACCCAGGAATAACATAACACACAGTTGTCTATCAACATATAAACACAGAACAGGTACAAAATTGAATGAAGGTGATAATTTCCATGTTGAAGCTGAACTGCTAGGTACAGGATCACATTCAGAATTCCCTTCTCAGACACTGTCACTAGGGAAGGATATATAGAATGAGAACCAGTAGCCAGAGTTCTTTAAGCAATGAAACAGCAAGGCTCTATTTATTGAGCAAAGAACTGTTTCCCGAGATGCCAGGAGGCTGGACTGCATAAGGAGGTATCTTCAAACCTCGTGCTTCAATTTCCTTTTTTTATGCCTTTAAGGTCTTCTATCTAAATATTAACTACAGCTGTCTGATTTTACAAGATCAGATAGGATCAGAGCACATGACAGAATAGCTATGGGCTAATGGTAACTTTTGTTGCCTTCACTGAAACTCAATGTTAAGTGTGGTATAGGAAAGAAATCACCCGAATCTCCTCTATTGCTAGAGGAAACAAAGTACTTAAGATCATATGAAATTTGCTAAGAACAGTAATTGCTATTGGGCAGAAGGAATTAACACACAGCGCAAGGTGTTCTATCAAATGATTACTCAGACATTAACTGTACTCAGACTACTGAGCTTTACTGAGGGTCAGGGAAAATGTGGGTCTATCATGTCCCAGCATTCCTCCAAGTGAAATTTTCCCCTAAGCAATAATCCTCATGTTCTAGTATCACCAACAGAAGTAAAATACTTTTTCTATTTCGGTCACTGAAATTTCAAGCAGCAAGGGGGTCCATAAAACAATTAATACTGTCCTATTATGTACTTATTTCAGTGCCTTCTTCCATGCATGGAAATCCTGAATAGCAAGGAGAGCGTGCTGCAGTAATGAGCAATACTTAGCAAGATTCACTCACTGTTCTACAGTACTATATGGACACTGACAAGGCTACAAAAACAAGTATGAAATGATGTCCTCTGCCTACACAGGTGATTAAAAGCATGTAACATATTTCTACTGTTCCATTATCTTTTGCTACATATTCCCTTCTTGAGATGAGGCCAGCATCCACAGATACACACAAGCACTGACCCTCCATCTGCCATCAAGAGTAGAAGTGTTTCCCCTTTGCTCTCCCCACTAGGTCATCCACAGCAGGAGTGCTCTAATAGTACTGTCTAGTCTGCACTTAGATTACCATCCATACTCACTCTGTTACCTCTAAAAACACAGGAGTTGCACACGGGAGGGAACTATTGAATCAGATTACACAAGCAATATAATTATGATGAAAAAATAAATCTTGTCACAATTTTAAGAACTACTTTAAACTTCAGCCTCAGTATTAAGAAACTGAAGAGGCTTGGTTTCAATACATACTTAGAACACTCTAAAAGTATCCCCATTTTAACTCTACAAATTATTCTTAGCTACACAACATATTCTAATTCAATTCCCCTTTGCTATTTCTTAGGGATTGTTCTTCTGATTAAATCCAAGATTTATCCTTATAGGCCTTTCCAGGGAAGCAGAAGGTGACTTGGAAATTATTTTCTTTTGCCTCGGTTCTTGCACTTTTCACCAGTGCAAGCAGTCAATTTTCATATACAAAGTAAGGCTGTTCATACCTTCAGGTGCATATTCAGTCATACTGGTATAAATCCACAGAAATGCTATTAGCAGAATTACAACAGAGACACATTGTGTGTTAACATGGGATAAATGGTGTTTTCAAGCCGTAATTGCTTAAAATCCCTACACAACCCTACTTGCTTAATTTTGCACTTAACAGTTTTGATAATTACTAAATTAACACATTTTAAATTACAGCCAACCTATAGCTAAAGATGTTAACCGTTTCCACTGTGAAGACATTTTCTTCTGAAGCAGGCTAAGTTCAGTAACCAAATCTTTACTAAGCTCTTAGACTTAGCTGAAATTCTCAGCTCTCTGATATGCTTCAGGCTGCATTTCCTAGCCCCATCACTATCACGTTTCAGAAAAAATGATTCTGTCATCTCAGAGTAAGCTTAAGAGAAAACCTGGGTTTACCCATACCAAATCCATGATTTTTTTTTTTTAAAGTTACATAAACCAACTAATCTATACTTTGGATCCCATAACTTAAAATGGAATGGGAAGGCAGGCAACAATACCTCTCTGTAATGTTAAAACATCTTTAGTCACATCCAAACAAAAGTTCACCCACATTATAAACTTCAAAGAATTCAGGAACTTTGCCAGTCACTTTGAAAATATTAGCCATTCTTTGCACAATTTCTAAGGTTTCTTAGTGTTATAACTGACTAAATGTAGTCAGTATCTACAGTGTACACCGTATGTAAAACAAAGATTCTTATTTTAAGTTCAAACATAAAGATTATAACTTTAACAGTGTTTAATTATCCTAACAGAATGTTGGAAGTTTTTCATTTACATTCCTAACCTACAATTAAGGTGTATTTGAAAACAAACAGCCAAAAAATCCCAATCACCATTACTTGCTGCACATCTGTCTGAAATGAAGCCCTCCCCACTTCTTTCTTCTACATCGCAAATAGGCACAAAGTCACGAACCCTTGCAAGCCAGCATATAGGAAAACAGTAATTCTTTGCTTAGTAATATTTATGTTTCTCTTTTGTTCTTATTTGTGTAAGTAACATACGTACATAATCATTAGTATATTTAACATTGTGGGATTATTTTAATGACAGAACATACATTACTGAGAAATGATGTTTCAAGAATGTAGGACGGAAGTCAGCCCTGTAAGGCTAAACCCTCAGTCATATCCAGTCTGGGACATTATGCAGAGCAGAAAGCTGGCAACAAAAATAAATGGACTATGACCTATGTATTTTAGGACAAGTTCACAATAAACCCTGTAGCAGAGCTCCTTACCTCTCCAGGGCACTCTGGTGATGAATTTTTCCACAACTGAGTTTAAGTACATTTTCATTAAATGAGCTGCACATTTAAGTATATGTAAAAGTGAGCAGTAACATACATCTAAGATTTTTCCATATCAAATAGCTTATTTTTAAATCACTCCCAAATTTTCAGTGGGCTACAGATTTTGTGCTAACTATAGATATAAAATTGTATTATAGAATTAGCTGAAAATCAGTGTGAATATCTTACATGAAGGGAGCCACAAACCACATGATTTTTAACAGGTATGCTAGCTATTCTAATATTCACCTCTTATCTAGATTGTGCTGAAATTCAGGCATAACTCTGTTGAATTGATTTATTTATTTATTTTTAAGAAACAAAAGGAAAGATAATTCTCTTCCTACCACATGTGGGCAACAGTACAGGGAATTAGGTATTTTGTAAGAGGAACACTTGGACTCTTGATTCCACATACCCATTTCCCACTTCCCCCAGCCCGAAACCTGTCAAGACACCAGATACTGCCACTGAATATTTCTGAACACAGTTAATTTTTCATTACTAGAGTAAAAATCAACTTAATAGAAAACAGGATGTCTCACATCTCTCTCTTACATCTCAAGACCTTACCCTACACGCTTGAGAAGATAATAAAAGATATAGGTTATAATTTGTTTTTATGCTTGGTGGATTAGAAATTCTACCCGCACTAAGACTGGATTCTAAGGAATATTCTGCAGCCGAAGACTTGTGACCAAATGGAGATGTAAAACATATACTGACTCTGCTCACAAAGTTTTGCTGGAGTAATTAAAAAACCAGCAGTTTAAGACTTTCCATTGGCCTAATCTACTTACCTTTGTATTTTTAATACACCCTTCACAACTCTCCCTTATTAATTAGATTTTAGGATCTTACATTATCAGCTCAACTGCTGCATCAATTAGCCTGTTCATACACATTTCTCTGAAATATCCTTGATTTCATTAATGCTGCTTATTTCTATGAAAAACATGTTCTTTTGCATTTTTCCATATGATTTGCTTTACTCACATGGATAGACTAGGGAAGACAAATTATGTGGAATTCTGACATATAAATATAAACAAGATTGACCAGAAAGTATTGTCATCTTTCTTTATCCTTTTGGGCTATTTACTACATCCCATTGATGTTTTCAGATTCAGATCAAGTTCCCTGAAGCAACATACTGACTCATTTTTTCTATAGTACTTTTCACAGAAGTACTCCATCAATCAGTGGGAACTTTTAAACATTATCATAACAATGATTTTGAAAAATTACCTCTGATAAACACATACTGCATCTTTAAGAGTGAATGGATGGCTTTGGATTCACCTACCTTCATATTTACATCTGCTCCATTACAGACCAAAAGCTCTAAACACAATGCTCCATGTGTTGATGCAGCAGCGAAGTGCAAAGGTGTAAAACCCTTCTCATTCATTTGATTTACATTAGCACCGCAGTCTATGAGTTCATTCACTACAACATCTTGTCCGTTGTAGCAAGCTACATGAAGAGGAGTATTTCCATAGGCATTTGGTTCATTCATCTATCAGAGAAAAAAAACCCCAAGATTAGTTAGTAGGCAAAAATTACAGGTAAAAACCTGTAATTACTGCAGCATTTAATTATGACAAATTAAAATCTCATATCATGAAACAACTTCTTCATTATGTTTTGGAAATCTTCAAAACCAGAAATTAAAAGCAAGTTCTGGATGTAGTACTTTGATCGAGAAGTATGTACTAGGGAAGAGTATGATTGCTTTACAAGTGAGACAACCTCCCCCAATTGTCTCCACACTAGTTTCCTGGATGCAATATGCAACTTCACAGAACACACACATAGAAAAAAATGCCAAGAATGGCAATTTGCACAGACACTACAGACTAAGCACAGCATGGACCTCTGTTGTTTTTCAACAGCATTTGTGGGTTTCCATTAAAAACAAGAGGTCAGAGGGACTTTTGGGGGGGGATGTGAGGGAGGACATATAGAAATAGAATTTGTTGTTGTGCACACATGATACTGAATTCTGATCTACTTCTCAGGATAGAACTTTGGCAGCATTCTCCAGCCTTGTAAGACTATAATGTGATGCACAATGTAGAATTCTTACACAGTTTCAGTTTGTTGTTAACACACTTTCTACATGCAGGTACTATACAGCCCTTTAATTTATTTTGCATTTCAGCATTAATATGGCCTTCCTTACTGTAGTATTGAAGTTTCTCACAATTTTTAGTATTTCCTAAAACTTCTGTGGTGTAAGAAAGTCAGCAACGTCTATATTTTACAAATAAGCGAAGCAAAAGAGTTTAATTTCCTGCTGTTCAAAAAGGATTGTGTGGCAAAGCTAGGAACGGAATTCCTATTTCCTGAGTTCCAGTTCAATGAACTAAGGGTAAGAAATACCAAACGAACGAAAAAACTACTAAATACAAATTTATTTCCAAATAATTGTGCAAAATCTGCAAGGCTTTTAAGTTACTTGGGGGAATGAGGTTTTATAACTAAAAAACCACGTGAATGAAGACCTTTGGAAATACTATTTTCACTATCTCAAAACCTGCCCCTAAATAAACAGTGTGGTACAACACTGACAAGAGCATTTCAAACGATAAAAAAAAAAGAAGCATCACTTTTATTCTTCCTTACATCAACTCCAAGATCCAGAAGATATTTGACTACACTGATCATCCCACTGGATGCTGCAGCATGTAAGGGTGTATATGATTTCTTGTCTTTGCATGTCACTTCAGCTCCATGAGCCACGAGTAATTTCACAACTTCAATATGACCTAAAAGAATAAAGACAAAAAGAATGAAGCTGCATTTTATATTAACCAGCACAAGTTTCTCCTTACACAGAAGGATTTTTTGGGAAGACTTGAGAACTAGAGAGGTGAAATAACTTTGTAATTATTAAACATTTACTGCAAATTTCTGTTAACAACTTGAGAGAGAATGTGACTGTCAGTATTCCACCTTCACCTCAACTGCAAATGCATCCATTAAAGTTTTTAAGGCCTTCAGAAGATAATATTCTATTTTTAAAAAAAAAAAAACCCGCCCCCCGCCCCCCCCCCCCAATCCAACTTCCTTTACTTGCAAAGTCTTTAAAATGTTGACCCAAATCATACAGGATTTAGCAAAGCTCTATTTTCTAAACTGACTCAGGCCTCTGAGGAACCGTAGCCTTTTGAAAGCATCAACTATTCTCCTAAGTCACCAGGCAGAGAGTAAGAGTCAAGTGGGATCATGGGGAAGGGACGACCTGGGGGAAGTTCCAGGTAAGAGGGTGGAAAAGGGAAGGGAGGGCAAGGAGCCCACCGTGCAGTAGCAGGCAGTTGCTCTCACTGCCAGCTTTGTGGCCGGGCCAGGGGCCCCAACACCGCGCTGCTGCTGCAAAGGGCAACCAGCTTTCCCCTTCACCATGTCCACACGCTCCCCCACTAGCTTGCATGCAATTGTGACGCTGCGCACTAAGAAAAATGCTATGAAAATGGGGTAACCAAAAAAAAAAATCTGCCATATTTGCTCAGTTGTTAATTTAACTGCAAAACAAGTCAATCACTGAAAACACATGAATAATCATGACAAAGTCTGCAGAATAAAGGAGCACACTTGAGTTAAACAGACCATGATACATTTAGTGCTTTTCCTTTGTAACTGACCCATACAGACAGATGTGGGATTCTTCATAAAAAGTGAAGGTCTTTGTTTTTTCAATGACTAAGAGAATTTGCAAAAGTTTGAATAGGAAGCACCTACCCAAAGGAATACAGACAAAGCTATTTTGATAAATATTCAGTCACCATGATACCTATTTTAAGCTGCATGCCCAACAACATACAACGGCATTTCACCTAGCTATACCAATCAGAAACATAGAGTTTACCAATGCAATGTGAAGTGCTGCAACATTTCAATTCTGAATTACTGCAGTATTGTAGGAAAGAAGAGAAAGAGAAATTTAAACATGATACTAATCTTCTGACCCAAATGTAACGGGGACAAGAATGAAAACAAGCCCTGTATAAGAGACAGAACTACAGAAGATACTGAAAACAGTGAAAGGAAGAGAGACGCTGAGCAGAACAGTGGCAGAAAAAACTTTAAAGAGAAGAAAAAAAAACCCCAAAATCCCTGACCTGCATTGAAAACGCGAGCAGCAATCTGTGGAAGACACTCAATCAGAAGAGCTAGATACTTCAAGTGGGCAGCACTGAGGAGACATCCTGATACACTTATGAGTGCGATGCTAGCATGCAAGAATGAAAGTCCATTTTAGTCACAGCATTACAGCTGGACAGCAAAGGAGCTGGGTGAAACGCAGGAAGGAAGAGAAACAATGGATATAACCCTAGAAAGTTATTTATAGTAGACTGACGAAAAGCATAACTTCTTTTTTATTCTACGGTCAGTTTTATATGGTGGAAAAGCTTTAAGGCTTTCTTCAAACAATTGGAGCAGTGTAAAATGGCTCTACATTGTGAGAGAGAATGTCACAGGGTTTTTTTTCCTTGTTTGAAGACTTTCAAAAGCTTTTTCTACTCTATTGTCTGCAAGAATATTTAGGTTGATTGCCATCAGATAAATTACAATTTTCCCACCCAAGAACTGTTCATTAACAATTTCTTGTTAATAGCCTACGAAATAGCACCGACTAAAATTGGAATAAATATAGCATATCTGAGAAACACTAGATTTTTCTCTCATCTAGGTGAGCACAAGGCAGAAAACCTCTGTCCTCTCACTGATGCTTGTCAGATCTCTGCCATCTCATGCACAAGTTTCATTCAACAAAATTTTGCAAATAATCACCTTGAGTAAGGTGGTTGGACATCCTATGACAGACATTGCTTTGCATATGTAAGTAGATTACAAAATCCTAATACAAAATATTACAAAGAACATTGGATCAGTAATGAAGATTGTTCTTTAACTTCTTGGTTTCAAGTACTGGTATCAGTACTTGATGTGCAATATCATACAGCTTCAAATTGTAAGTTGGAGTATTAATGCTATGATGATCACTTCATAATTCATGGGCACATTCAAGTCTTTTCCTCTGAAGACAGCTCAACAGGGTTCTGTTGTTCTTTTTAGCATTTCACATATGGTTTTCACAGCCTTATTTTACATTGCTATCACATTATTTCAGACCTGTACTGTCAGGGACATAAGACTAATGTGAAACTGGCCTGAAACACAGAGTTGTGCAAAGACAATAGTTAGTAATTCCACTTTTGTGTGAACCCAGGTGTTCACGAGAAGATCACTTTTACAACCGCTAAGATGTTAAACAAGCCCAATTTTGTAAACGTGTGGTTTTGCATTTGTAAAGATCAGAACGAACAACTCATTATCAATCGCCAAAACCCTCAGTAAGGCAACTATATTTAAACATGTACTGTCCCACATGCTATTGCTCTTTTCTTTTGCTCAGTATGTAAGTTTACAACGTTATTTCCACTTTTAAATTACTGTTTCCATTTGCTCTTTCCTGGCAAGACTAGGAAACATTGCTTGATAAATGTAATAACTCCAAAGCAGTTGTGTAAGATACTCAATGCCACAGAATCCCAGATGAGAAATATGTTTAATTAGCAACCTTCAGTCTGTTTTTAAGAACCACCCCCCCTGCATACACAGTGCACAGCATTATGACTATTTATAATTAATTCTCTCATTCATAATAATAAGCATTAACACCAAACTGCATATTGAGTGCCATTTTGCCTAAGAGCAGACCTCCAGGGCAGAGTTATCCTAGACTTAGAGATGTCAGCGTAATAAGTCCATTAATTTCCTAGTTTATGTGTGTTTATTTTTTGGTTTGATATCAGATAAAGTAAAGTTAGTTTGTTTTACTCGGGGAAGGGGCAGTATAGAAATTACTCTCCCTGTACATTAACCTAAATGTTTGTCAAAAATACAAGGTGCTCCTTTATAAACCCCATATATAAAGGTTTTCACTGAGACAGTCATTCCAAGTAGCATTTTCCAATTATAACGGGAACAAAAACATTCACATCTTTAGATCACCTCTGAAAAAAACCCAAAAGCTGCCATAAATAATAGGACCATGTTCTTTTCCTAACTGTTCTTCTCCTTAAGTTTTGTAAGATGGTACCTTAGGCATATAGATATGTATTTTCTGGAGAATTTAAAATTTAGGAAGATGAAGATCACTGAAACATAACAGGAACAAAAAACTACACACAATGAAGTCTTATTTTCCCATTACACCTCCAAAGAAATTCCAAGGCATGCAGACTTATACAATACTGATGCTACTGCTTTTATTATTCTTCCTTGGCTGGGTAGAATTATGAAGCAATAAGCTAAAATACTGAGTAACAATCAAGACCATGGAATCATCTCAATTGGCTTCTTCCTGAAATTGATAACTAAAACCTAATTCTTCACTGTCATATACAACACACATTGCATGTGTTCAAGGGCATTTTTAGACATTTTCTGAAGTTAAAAGAGGCATGATGTTTTTTGGCTTCTGAACAGGTACAAGATATTCTGCAATGACAAATACAACCTGCAGTTGCATGTGAATTACTTGGAAACAAAGTGGTTAGCCAAAGCTAAGAGACTTTGCCAGTGTCAGCCTAGAACTCTTAATCTGCATTTTCTGTGATTCACCTTCCAATGGTTTATATTGCTCATATTTTAAATGAAGCTTGAGATACAAAGCTCTACTATTTATAATAGCTGTGCTGAAGAAAACAATTCCTACCACTTAATAAAATGAACATCTGATAAAAGGCAATGAAGTACACAACTCTGACAGTACTGCCAGTGCCTTGATCAATAACATGACAACAATAATTATCCACTCCTGGAGTAAGAATGGCAAGGCAAGAATTTGGGGTTTTAGAGATGAAATAGTCTTCTTTTAAAATACAATCCCCAAGGTTGGTGCAATGATCATCTGTTTCAGGTGTGCCTTGTATTAACTACTTACTTTCTATTTAGCATTATTGCAAAAGTTTTCACCCGTGATTAGACTCCTGCTGACTGAGGAACATAGTTCCTTCTTTTTAAAGAACAAAATTACTTACCTTAATTTTTCCAACAAATTGATTTTTGTCACCACAAACACAGGTTTACAAGGCAATGTGAAGTATACTTTTAATGGTTTTCTGGCAGACACACAGATAACCTCAATGCTTACAATGTAAGTATTTTTCCTAGAAATATATAAAAAAACTAAACATAAGGCAATTTTTTTTTTTACTACCACAATAGTAATCAACTGAAATACATACATACCCATATATGCTGCCCAATGTATAGCTCGTCTGTCTTTCTTGTCAAATGCATTAATATTGGCCCCTCTAGACAACAGTAAGCTGACCATCTGAGATAAACAGAAAGAAAAGAAATCCTCTATTCACAATGGAAAACTCTGCTTAAAGTTAGACAAAAGAAAATCATACGAGAACACAAAAATATATGCATTTTCAAACGTTTTAAATGTGGTGGGGTTTTTGAATATTCCATAAGCTTGAAAAAACTGGCTGCCCACCTTGGCAGCAATAATGAAGTGACTGTAAGGAACACAAAACTCTATGTCACCAAAAACATCTCCCAGCTAAATATGGCAAAGCTGTGGAATGTTTGAAATCTAAGGGATTCACTAAAGGCAATCACTAAAGGCAATCACTAAAAGCAAGCCTATTGCCAATTTGTCTCCAATTATCTATCCACAATTACAATGGGCATTTCTCAGTGGTTGTTTTTCAGGGCTTGAAAACTACTGAGTTAGAGTGTATTACATGTATTTCCTCCACATTTCAGTGACAACACATTCCACATGTTCACTATCTACTGAACAGAAAAATATCTTCTTTTTTCCATTTTAAATTTATCTGTTACTAGTTTAACTCCACTTAACTTAGCCAAATTTGCTTCTATCTTAAGAAAGGTGAATGCGTAATAACCTTCCAACTGAATGATGTAACATGTATTTTCTACAACCATTCTGTACACAGATGCATACAAAAGACAAATACAAATACAAAATAGGGGTTGGGATTTTTTGAAGGGATGGGGGAAACGTGATTTTAAACTGAGAAACTAAACATCAGAAATGTGAGGGGCAGAACAATGAGTGGGAAACAAGCTAAGAAAAATAACTCTTACCTCAACATGTCCACTGAAGGCTGCGTGATGCAATGCAGTTCTGCCTGCTCGATCAGACACATTTACATTGCTTAGGAGAGGCACCAAAGCTTCAGCACATTTCACAGCTTTGTTTGCAGCTGCTATATGTAGGGGTGTCTGCCAGTTTTTATCACGAGCATTGACATCCGCTGAATGCTTTAACAACACCTGAACAGCATCCTGAAAGCATTTAAAAAAACCCCAACAAACAAACAAGCCAATTAGTAAAGATTTGAAACGTCAGCCTTAAATCCAAGGACAGTATAATGGAATAGAACTATTTACAATTTGTTCTTTTCAACTGAATCAACCATTTCCAGCTCTTTTATCCAGATCCTTAAGCCGGCTAGCTTGTTTTGTCATCACAACTAGTTTCCAAAGCTCAATAAACCTCCTTAAGATTTCTTCCATTGCTAAGGATTAGTGAAGTACTATGAACTTAGAATGCATTTTCATGAATTTGCCAAGCAAAATTTTTGAACTGTCACAGTCTAGAAATGGCAAAGAGAAGAACACCTTATTAAATGTACATCTAAAGAACTACAGATAAAACAGAGCACGGTCACAAAAAGTTTCAACATATACTGTTGCAAAACTCCTGAAAACCGTTTCAAAATGTTGCACTGAATTCCATCTCACAAAAAGATTATTCATTTCCTTTTGTTAAAAGTACAAGCTGTGAAAATTTGACAAATAAGATCATAATTCTTACAGCAAGATAAACAAATCCCATTAAAATATGTGCACACAATTGGAATGCATAAAAAAAAAATCTGTTGGTGATATCAACATGAAGATGAATACTGCATTTTACATCAACTCTGTGACCTTCCCACAATTCACTAATTGCTTTCAGTGACTTCTTCCAACTCAAATACTGAGCACACAAATAAATGGTTGGCACTTTGAACTTAAAACATGTTACCACAAGTAGTTATTGGAAATTTTGAATTACACTATGGTACCATAGCTAGGTATTATTCTCAGCTATGAGCAAAATGCTAAGTAACACTTGATTCTATTTATTACAATAAATTTTATTTAAAATGTTCAAATTTCTTCTATTGTCAATAAAGAAGAAAATAGGAACAAACATAAAGGTGAAAATACTGCATCACAGGCTTGTAATTTAAATGAGAAATGGAATGGCTCTTCTATTCTCTAAGAAACTTAAGCAGATTTAGTACTTTAAAAATCTAATCAATATTTTGAACTTTTGCCTTTTTTGAACCAAATATTAAGAAAAACCATAATCAGAACAAGGAAATTTTAGAACCGCTATTACCCCTCTTGTAGAAGGAAGCACCATAGTACCAGTATAAAAAGAATGCAGCTTGCATTTTTATGCACATACATATGCATTAATTAATTTCAAGAATTACTGAATCTGCTTAGGGTTTCTCCCCCCCCCCAAAGTACACCAGGCACACAAATACAAAGGCCTGGGGTGTGACCGTCTTGACATGAAGTTGCTTGAACTTCTGCAGTTGACAGCTAAATCCATAATTCCAGCTATTTTGCATGTTTCAATGTCCTTGTTTAATTACAGCTGTCCTTGCTTCAAGAGCAAGTACAGATGTTTTACTGAAATCAGTATCAAGAGTTTTTTCATTACAGCTTTTTTTCATCTAGTGCACAAAGCCCACGTATGTCTGTCAGCTGGAAAACAGTGCCTACACATACCAACCATGTATGTGGGCTCCTATAACTTATTGTACTTATAAATAGAAAATTCTGACGAGAGCCTATCATTACCTTTTGAGTAAATAGTCTGATAGGTTTACATGTGCTGTTCACCTCTGGTTAGTATTTTGTTTAAAATATTCCACATTAAAAAACATATGACCATGGTTGTATTTCTTGAAGTTATCATTTAGGTCCAGTTTGTCTGCAGCACTCCTGCCTGCAAGCATTACTGATACAAGATGCTTTTGCTATCCCTCAGCTCTGAAGAATGCAGCATTTGGTGCTCTGGTCAGCTCCCAAAGCAGCAGCCTAAAAATACCTCAAGAAGAACACACAGCGTTTGAGAATAAGGCACCTTCGAAGATTCGTTTTCAAACACTGTTTTAAATCTCCATGTAACTTAGCTATTAATGCTAGTGATGGAATATTGGAATTTATCCAGGGAATTCAAAAGCAAAAACTGAAACAAGACTTGTTTAGATAGTTCACGGATCAAATACTTGAAGTTCAATGCTTGCCAAAACCAAAATACTCAACTGCATCTTCTCAAACAAAAATTTACACAGAATCTTTAAAAAACCTTTATTTTTTGAGATATAACGAAATGCGCAGTGATTTGACCCAGGATCTCAAAGGAGATAGTTTTGCATAAACTCTTCCACAGAACAAGCTCAGCATTTCTCTGTTTGTTTTGATCTTCTACAGGCATTTAAAATTTTTATTAGGACATCAACAATAGAGGAAGAATAACAAAGTAATTTCTTACATTGCTATATTTTCACAACTGTGTAACTGGTAGACTTCAAAAAACTTTCTATGTATTTCATTTATAACTTTAAAAGTGATTTTCAATACTATCATTAGTCATTAATTGCTTTTTAAAAGAAAGATGTTTGCAGGCTTTATAGAACCATTTATTTCTTCAATGCCTGAACAGACAAGCCTGTAAAAAAAATGAAGAAATGCAAAGATTATGCTGTAAAAGCTGTACTAAATCCTAGTTCATCTCTACTTCCCTCATGCTGAACCCTTCTGGTTACCTTAAGAGAAGTAAGCTGGACTTGAGAACACTGCATGCAGAATCCTCTGCTGGGTAAACAGCAGAGAGCAAGGCTGAGAACTGGAAGTTTACAGTTTTCCCCCTTTCTCCCTACTCAGGCATGTGATATATATACACATACTCTCAACAGGTTAAACAAACTGTTGCAAAAATGTTCTGCAATTCCAAACTTTTGGAATAGTTTCACTTTGTAAAAACCAAACAAAGAACAGAAGGTAATTTGAGATGTCTTATTTTAACACAACGCAGTCAAAAAAAAAAAGCATACCTCACTACAAGATGCCACAGCTCTGTGTAAAGGAGTCAACCATTTGCTGTCTTTGGCATTAACTCTAGCTCCTGTAACAAAAAATAAGAATAACAGAAATTTATAACATATTTACAGAAAGACTTACATATTTTCAACTACAGAGAAAGAACTATTGGAAGATACTTATTTCTAGGCTCATTAATACAGCATGAAGCCAAAAATGGAAAGGAGTCTTTCCTCCAGCTGAAGTCCACCCTTTGAAGAAAGTCTTTTAACACTGCACCCATAATGCTCTTCCATCAAAGCGTACTCATCTTTTTACACTAGGTAATCCTTTATAATCCTCTGCACTTCCAAAGGCACATAAAATACTATTGGGTAAGAAAGACTGAGTCCTTGCCTTCATTCAGCAACAAAAATCTCACTTCCCCACTACAGTTGAAATTCTCTATTAAAGTAGAGGAAGAGGCTACATTTATGCCCCATGCCTCCAGTTTCCTTGTGGTTGGTGAGTCTGATGCATAGGTGTATAGAAGATGCTGCTTCTTCTACTGGGAATTTGGGAATGAATCTTCCCTACTCCACCAGGTCACCTAGCCCATTTCAGGACCTCCCTTCATGAGCTAGACTGCAACAACCACACCTCTCTGCTTCTAAAAGCATACCTGAGAAACAGCTGTCCCCACCCCAAGAAAAAAAGGTCACACAAACTTCTATAAGGGACACAAGCCTGGGTTTGGATTTTAATTTTTTTCTTAATAATAAAAGGAAAGAAGGATTTGGGAATTTTTTTTTTTCCTGAAGGAAACAACTGAACTACATTCTAACTTCCAGTAAACTTCAACAAAGAAGAAAACTTAATGATTAAGCTTAATTATTTAATTTCTTACTGATATATACACACACATATGTATACATTCATATATGTGTGTATAGATATACACACATATATAACCTTATAGGTTTTTTATACCTTGAGTGGAAATTTAGCCATCTTTATTTGAAAACTGCTAAGATTTTACAGAGATATGATAGCTTAGACAAAATGTTATGTTTTTGAAAAAATAGTTTGGAAATACTGTTGGAAAGTGTTCAAAGAGCAATATATGATATCACACAGTAGTATTAATGCTACATGGTCAGAGCTTAACTTCTCAGGCTAAAGTAATATTGTTATGTCAGAAGCAACTTTAATTTTTTCTATGCAAAGAACAGAAAAGCATAAAAGGCCAGTAAGACACAAAATGTCAAACAGGCTGCGGGTCAGGATACTCAGCTGAGAGACAAGAGTGTTTTGATCCAAGTCTCCCAGACCCACACCAGCAAAGAAGTCTCTCCCAGTCCAGCTGAACAACCTGACCAAGAAACTTAGCAGTCTGTACAAAATTGTGGTTGATTATGATAAGCAAACCAAAGATTTATTTGACAATTCTCTGAGTTAATTAGTTTCTAGTCAATCCATCCTTTTCAGGCTTAAGAACACAACATGGAAGCTGATGCTGGATCCAAATTCCCACTTTGACCCTAGGTCTTCCAAGCACCGGACAAAGCCTGACATCTGATTGCTGGCTACAATTTCAGGGATTTTCCTCTTTTCTTATCCAAATTTCAGAAGCCTTAGGTGTCATCCTATTTTCCAAGTTCAAAAGTTTTTGAAAAATAAGTTTGAAGGAATAGGAAGAAAGTTCAAGTCCATTTGAAAAAAGCCCTCACAATCTAACAAAAATTTGAGACGTAATCTTACCATAAATATCTGCTTTTGTCAACCATCATAAGGATGTAGTGTACTGCTGCACCATATCATGTACCATAACATAATGTACTGTATCAAATTCTGCACAGAACTCAAAAAAAAAGAATTCGAGGATTCTAAAAGTCACCAGAAATGTCTTAGGATTTTTGGTAATCCTTCCCAAAAGACAATAACCTGAATGATCAGTGAGAATGACATCAATATATTTCAGATATATCTATAATTCTTGACTGTCTTCCAGGTTATTGTTAGCCACACCTTGTTTTTAGCAGATGAGACAAAAGCTTGGTAATCCAAGCTCCACCTGACTTCACATCTACAGCCAACAAATAAGGAATGAAGATTTTCAAAGTCTAACTGACTTCTCTTTCTAATCTTAGGATACAAATGTCTTTGAAGTGGTTTAAAGGAACTAAGGGAGTTACTAGGTCACTAATCACCATCCTGATTTTCCTCAGGAAAACGCATTTGCAGATTTGATGTTAGGTCAGATCCACCCAGGTGATGATGCCCAAGACAGGAGAAGCTCCATGCCCAGCCAAAGGGGAGAAATGCACATTTCCACTCCAAGTAAGTAGCAGTTACCTAAGCTCTAGTGAAAACGTGCTTGGAGTCCAAGCCCTGTTTGTGGGTTCAGCTAAGTCGTTCACCGACATTTCTGGTACTTTAACACACAGCCTAAAAATTGCATCAGAAGAGGGCAGGAATAAATTCAAAAAGATACTGTACAAAAGGTTTTCCTAGTTGTTAAGTTAATCGGACTTGCTAGGGCTAAAGGAAAACAATATCTGAAAGCATTTGCTGTTTCTGGTAAGAAAGAAAATCAGCATTAGCCAAAGAAACACCTAAGGAAATTTGAAGCTACATCTAAAAGTAACATGGTCCTCTCAAAAGAACAAAATCAACACAACAACATCTGTTCCCCACCCCATAAGTGATCTTCCACCTAAAGAAGCAAGAAAGCCTAGGTCGAGTACATCCCATAGTTAAATTAGTGTAACATGTAGACACTAAAATAAGTTTAACTGTTCAAATGAACAAAAAATTTGTATATTCTCTGACAAAGGAGAAAACCACAGTTGACTTTTGACAAAAGATCTAAATCTCTAATGGACTTACTTAAGAAGGAACCACCAAGCTTATTTTTACCCCCAACAACAAACAACTCTTAAAGGAGTTCCAAAACTGTTAGATTGAAAGACAAAGTTTTAAAGTAATAATCAGAATAAGTGTACTACCAAAAAAAAATGCATATGAACTATTAATGTGGGAATCAGGAGATCTATAGCTCTAGATATGTTAACATAATATTTTAAATTAACATAGATACTTCCCCCTTAAATTTCACCAAGAAGACATGCTGCCAAGAATGATTTAAGTTTCATAAAACAGCTTCTTCAAACAGCCTTGTATCTGAGGATATAATCCCCCTCTAGGCTGTTCTTTACTCTCCAGAACATGATTTGGGAAAATGTTACTGTTCCTCGCTCCCCTCCTTCAGATGCTGTCCATGAGACCTAAAGCTCCCTCAAACCTATCATACTCCTACTATGCAACTGTGAGGAAGTTTACAGCCTTCATCCTCTGCAGTAAAGCTCTACTCCAGATCATTTCAAATAAATGTTAGAAAATATATTACACCTTTACTGAATATCTTTTGCTTAAAGATGACTTCCTTTGTGGTTTGCTTAAAGACAGTTTGAACACATGTATGCATATAATTCACTGTACGACACTGCCGATGCAATTATTATCTCTGTGAAGCTCAATCTGTTGACATGTTAACCAGGGCATTTCTCACATTTCAAATGCCAGTTGTGCAGCAGTTTGCTCTTTCAAAACACAGTGCAGGGTACCTCAATCCCCAATCTGTAAAAACAAAAAAAACAAACTAAAAAAAAACCCCACCACACTGGATCTTCTAGACTTCAGGGGCCTGGTCTTAATATGTTTATTAAAACTGCTCAAATATTTCATTTTTTTAATGTAAAATTCTTATAGTTCAATTCTTTTAATACCATAGAGCTTGCAGGAAAGGGATCTGGGGGCTTGCCAGAGATTCCAAATACAATACTGCAATGCAAATACCCATCGTCTTTGCTTCAACTTAAGAACTGATCATGTAAACGACACTTCCCTAAAATTGCACCTTCCAAACAAACCAACTAATTTTTCAATGTTAGTGCACTATACCTAAATATTAAACAAGATCTTCCCTTTCATCACTAACTTTGCTAGTAGAGCCTAGTAAGTTTACACATCTAGGCAAATATGAAAGCAGGATTTTTGCTCTAAAAAACGAAAATAAACAAACAAAAAAAGGCAGGGGGGGAGGGAAGAAGTATTACATATTTTTCTTCCCTCCTCCCTGAATCGTACATTTCATTTTGCAAAGTTGGATTCACAAGACTGACAATTAGAAAGACATGTTTTATTTAATAAACCCAGTACAGAAGCTACTGAAAAACTCAGTGATGCTTACTTTTAGCAAATTTATGTTCCAAGAGACACATTTTCCAATTTGATACATGCACTGATTTACAGAATGATCCTGGAAGCTTTAATTATATCAGTCAATATCTGGCAATTGCACATTTAAATGTGCTATTAGCCACCAATACCTGGACATATGTTTCTGCAGTCCAGTTGGTACTTCATTGGTGTCAATATCCTTACAGTTGAGTAAGAGCAAGCATCTCGACCATGTCTTGCAGAGACAGGCAATTAATGACTGGACAGGAAATGCTGCAAGGAACAGTCACACACCTCCTCGTTCATCCATGAAGTGCCATATAACTCTATACAGCCATGTCTCAGCACATCACCTCTGTGTTCCCCTCATAAGAACTTTTGCTGTGACTCTCTTCTGCATCTCTGCATCAGAACTCTTCCTATTTGCAAATGTCCTTGGAAGACTAGTGAATGCAGCAGCTACATTACTTACACGTCATTAGTTGGAAATAGATTCAGAAAAGAAATACAACAGAACTGACAAGACATTTTCATCTTCGATCACAGTACTGACTTAAGTACTGAATTGTCTTCCACTGTTCTGTTTGCAGTCTGTATTTTTAGACTGTTAAGGGCAGTATTTTCCTTTGTTACTGTACAAGATGTGCTAGCAATTGAACAATATCATAATATAAGCAAATAAAGCAGAAGTGTTTTTATTCACGTACACAATACAGACACCTAACGTTCAGTATTTGAAGCTCCAAAATGTTTATTTAGGAGTAAAACAAGTAAGAAAGATCTTCAGATTGCATTTTAAAAAGCTAACAAATTTTGTCTTGACAACTAGTATACTGAACTAATTTTAGGAATGATCTTTCCAGA